ATTTTGACTGAATGACTTTTGCTCAGCTTAGTCCGATGTTGAGTAATATAGTATGCTTAAATCCTTCAGTGTGTATCCAGTCGTGGACAGACCGCTTCTATTAGGAGACGGTCTCTTCCGGGAAGACAAGGAATGCTGTGCGAATTTTGGGGTCAGTTCTTCTCATCATCATCATCATCACCATCATCATCATCATCATCATCACGTTGGTATTATAAGTAATCGCGAGAGCATGAAACATCAGCGCCTTTTGCATCACCATTATCATCACCATCATCCCGATCATCGCCATCATCATCATCATCATCATTATCATCATCATCATCACCGTCAGCTGTAATAACCGCGTACTTGTCTTACAGTGGTTTTAGCCGAAGTACTACCATATTATTAGAAGTTTTTCTAAGGAACATCCCCTCGAGGCTATTCAAACCCGTACCCAGTGTGTGTGTCAAACCTCTAACCGCTGATCAGCCTGGTGCGAGACCACCTGCAGGTAAAGCTCGATAGATTATGGACACAAGGATCGGTCTGTTTGCGTAGGTGTAGCAACTGTCCAACAAGTGGTTGTGACCTCCATCTTGGAAATAAACTGCTTCTTCATTGTGCACACCAAGCCCAAGATGATGCACTATGTAGATGCGATTACAGTGGCCTTGAAAAGCAAAAACACAAGAATAGTTAAGAAGAAGTGCTGGGGTTGGAACTCCGCACACCTGACATGCGAGGCGAGCGTGTAAGCACCAGTGCCCTCTGTACGAATTGGAGTTTCCACGTCGGAATAGACGTGGTTTGATTGGTTTTCCAGACCCCTGAATGACGATACAGTAAGTGCCATGGATGTGTTGATCGAATGGCCCACTTGTCAGGTCTTCCCAGTCTAGTAGCTTCACAGACGCTTCGAAACATCTTGGACAGGTTTGTTTAGTTGTAGGCGGTCGTGAAATGTTTAAACTTCATGCCTACTTCACTCTCGTTTGAACAGTCATCCTGGCACAATCATTCTCATGAGTCTACACCAAAAGAGAGGAAGCCCTGAACTCAAGTTTCAATCCCACTAGAGCTCATCACCAGCTCATCATCACGAAGGCCCGACTGGGTTCGATCCCAGATATTCCACAACATTTTTGATTTGGCTATCCGTGTTAGGTTCACGCACTTCAAGGGTTACTTGGATGACGAGGCAAAAGTAATTCAAGAAACTTTGTGTTCCACTCGACGGAGATTGCAGAACTGCAGAATTTCTGTTGGTGTATCGTACCACTCGGTGGCTCGATTTCAGTTGATTTCTAGTATATACTCACTCTGACTGGATGACACTCTATAAAGTCCTAAGCACACAGGACTCTTCGACAGCCAACGACCAGTTTTTCGGTCTCTGGGTTCATCAGGTAGGCAGAGTCTCCTGGGTATACGCCAATACAATGTCCTAATTGAACAACAAATTAGACATCAGTCAGTCTCTGGGTTCGGTAGGCAGAGTCTCCTGGGTATACGCCAATACAATGTCCTAATTGAACAACAAATTAGACATCAGTCAGTTAAACACTCACAATCAGGTTAGGGCGACAAACCCAATTGAGTTTCCGCTAGCACCAGATAAATTTGCTAGCGGGTGCCATTCGGAAATAAGCACTCAGTACAGGTAGTTTGCCGCATTGAAAGGCGTAAACGAGTTAACAGCGAGTAACATCACTTCAGTATTCAACTTGGTCCTTGCAAGCACCGAAAACCTGTAAAAAGTCAGACGAGAACCATTTGTTAGTACAAGAGTACTAAGAGTGTACCTGACGAACATATGTTCAGTACTATCACGCGTTGCTACCTCGAAAGTTTAGATGTACCCACATGGCTAAGCTGTTCTTGGTGGGAATACCTTGTACATCGTACGATAAACAAAGGAATGTGTGCGTGCACTTTCTACTTGAAAGCAACAATTCCGTGGTGAGGCAAACCTTATTGGAGGAAATAGAAGAAAGGCAAGACTGGTGAAATAAAACAGCACAATCCATGACAATAAATGTGAAATTTTGTTCCTCAATCAAAATGAAACCAGCCACTTTTATGGGGGGGTGGATGATGGGTTGGACTCTGAAATGACCACTTGCCTGAATCAGGGTCAGCACCTAAATTAGTTCATCACACGCTACTACTGAAAGACACAAAAGTAGAAGGAGTTAATAACCTTTTCTTCCAGAAGCCGGTTGAAACGCGTATCGATTAGGGGATTATGCCTCGGCACAGTGCTGCGCATCCAGTAGTCAACGGGGAAATTCAGAGCATTACCAGACACTCACTGAACAATCCGTATGAAAAACACTAGTGCCTCAAACTCATTCAAGAAGTGGGCATCATTTTGACCCACGGAAACATCTTCCTATTAAGGAAAGTTATCACTAGTGTATAAAGAATGTCACCGGATTTATTCTGAACTCTGAATTGCTTGTTCGAATCCCCTCAACTGTGAGTAATCCAGCTCTTTGTTAGTTCTTTGGTTGCTCGTTTGGTCGCAGAGTCTCCAATGTTTGTCTGCATCGCTCACTTAAGCGGACGCAACTCGTTGATTGGATGCGTTGATTCGCGTTCACCTTCAATGCTGCGCTGTGATGGGTTGAACCGAGTTCGGTCGATTATTGGCTGAAGGTGTTGTTGCACTGCATGGGGCTGCTGTCTACTCGGTAGAACAAAGATTAGGGGGCAAACCTCAGTCACTAACATTCCGAAAGGTAACATTCAGAAAGACGTAACTATTATTCACAGGGTTACTGAAGCTGAGTTTTCAAAGGCCTCGTGAGCAGCGTTTTACGCCACTAATCTCGGACTATGAAGCGCTGGAAGACTTGGCTGATGACAATTACTCTAGTTTTCCCGGGTGTCGCTAAGCACTATAAAAACGCCATGAAAGGTCATAGCTACGGATTCTCCAGGGAGACAGCTTGCTAGGTCGACAGCTGCAGAGACAGCGGTGAATATGATCTTCGTCGCCTGCGGTGAAAAGTCCTTCTCTAACAAGTATATATGCTCACTGTCATCGAAGCTTTATGAGGGGGGTCCTGAATATACCCCCGTCATCTGGAATTCAAATGGTCTGGCTGCTGAAGTGGTGCTGGCCTTTTCGTACGACTGGGCCACACTCAGTGATCCGGAGTGCGGTAAAGTACTATCTCGTTGACATCAGAGACGCTCAGGGGGTCGCAACAGAGCCATCTTCAGATTGGAGGTTGCTGCGGAAACTACGTTTGGATTTAGAGTAATTTAACTCTGTGCTATTGCGGAATGTTCTTGTAGAATCTTATTCAATGACACTATGTGAGGCGGTTTGGAGCGGATTTGAGCTGAGATAGCTTTTGAAGCAGACGGACCACCGATATGTAGTTTTTATTTATCCGTTTGTAGAGGTATTGCGTTGGATGAGAGGGTACGGTGAATCTCCGTCGATGGGACCTCATTGGCCCAGCCACAGTAGAGATGATAGCGGTGAGTGCGCTGCCCAAATCCGATTAGGAGTCCTCAGTATCTGAGTTCGTGGCCCGTATCACGCTAGGATTGCCACATTTCGCAGATTAACTGATGTTGCTGCTATTACAGGAATGTGTGATTTGACATTGGATGGTCGTCAATCAGGTTCATTCTGGAAACTCAATCGTTCTTGAGCAACGCGCTCATTATTGTGTCAAATTGATTTTTACGGGGACTCACCTAGAACCCAGAGGAATATCCTCTCACTCGACTAAATGTGCTGCCCCAGGCCTCCTGATATTTCACCTGGTGTGGTATTCGAGGTGTTGTAATATATTGTCTGAAGGTACTCATTCATCGCCAGTCAAAGATGGTCTGACCTTCAGTTGAGTCTCCCGTCAAAACCAAATCAGTTTGCAAATGATTGTGAAGTGGAATTTTGTGCAATTCGAGTTCCAGGGGACTGTGCTCACGCGACGAACCCAAAGAAGTGCGGGACCAGTTGTAGGCTGTCGAAGAGTTTTCAGCAACCTTATCAGTAGTTTGTTACGTCTATGAAACATATTGCGATATCTTGAATATCGTACAACCTGGTGCAGCACATTCATTTGCGTAAGAACACACAAACGAAAGATTCAGCTGGGTTCAAATTAAAATGCAAATGAATGTATTTGTCGAAATCAGCCCACTTTGGTCTCAAGTAGCAATTCTGGAGAAGGGAACCTCGGGAGCTGTGTCTACCTGACGAGACCAAAGAAGAGAAAAGCCGCTCGGGCGCTGTCCGAGTACTTTTGGTAACCTTATGATGAGATTCTTGTATGAAATAAAGTACATCACTTCCATGTGTGAAAAGTAGTCGTCTCACTCTCTCTATCTTGAACAAACATCAACAAATACGGGAGTTCGCGTGGAAGTAGGTGAAGAGGTAATGCTTCTTGTTCATATTACGAACAGTTGCCATCAAAAAGTACTCAGCTTTGCTACTAGGGAGCAAGGTATAAGTCAGAATAAGGGCAGATAAAGTATACCGTGGACGAGGCAAGTTGTCATTCGTCAAAGCATGTCTACAGCAGTCAGTATCGTCATTATCAGCAGTAGGAACCGCATACTTGTAGTACAGTGGTAGTAGCTACCAAAGTTTCGTTCACCGATGATTCGGGGGTGGGGTGGGGTAGATAGCTGCGCATCAGATGCGGAAGTTGATAAATTGGTGGATTGTAAACTCAATCTTTGACAGAGAAATTGATGTCACGCCTACGCCACAGGTGACGCAGGTTCATAAAACTGCTCTGGCCTTTCCAATCCGGATGGAAATACCATCTTTCCAGAGACCACCGGGACTGATACAGCTTCCAAGATGAAAAAATTTGACTACTACCTCAATCGGTTCTTCCGCAAGCATGAGGCTAGGGTTCGAGCCCACCCAGTCTTGGATTAGCGGGCATGAAGCGCATGCCGAACCGCGAGGTAGAATTACATAGGTTATTTAATATTGTTTGCATTACTACGGTGTCATATCCAAGAAGAGCTATGTCGTCTGCTTACTCGATATCTGTAAGCAAACGACCCGGTGGCACTTCGATCCCACAAACCTTAGAGGCTGGTAGTGAGTCTTCCATGATCGTATCAATGACGAAGTTGAAGAGAAAAGGTAAAAGAGGACAGCCCTGTCGCCCATCACTTGATGTGGTGAACTCAGGAGAGAGCTTCCCGTAGACCTTTACACGGCCGCGCGAGTGCAATGAAGGATGAAGGAATTGTATCGATGATATCCTCTTTGCTTTCTATCACACGTTCCAATAGTTTAATTGGAATATGTTTAAACATATAGCACAGGCGGACGGGTGGAAGAAGTCTCGGTGTGAACTATTTGGTAGCATTCATTTCCGATCTGGAACTTTTAATCTCACCTCAGTGACCTTTCTTCCAGATTATTCTGTGAATGCGGTGGTAATGACACTACATTGTCCCATGGCATGTCATGGAACCCTGAGCTCAGGTTCAATCATTTGTTTGAGACAATTGACAGGCTGGTGAGAACATGACAGTGCTTTCTCATTCGTTTATGCAATATCTTGGTTCCTGTACCCCCCCCCCCAACTATCTAGCTCTGAACTGTGTGCAAGACTAGACATTCTTCCCAGAAATGAGAGCGATTCACAATATCATTCTACACGACGTCCTCTGAAACGGAAGAAGACAAGCGAGTCTATTGGTGGAGATTTCGAAAGCGAGGCAATTTACTGTTTCTGCATGAAGAAAAATTATTTAGGTGTGAAAAGGACAACAACTGGCACTGTAGCAACACGTTGATGGCAAATAACCGGGGAAATTTCCCATGAGAGCCGGGGAGTACGCCATATTTGCCTCCGGGCATGTTTGAAATCAACAGATGATTTTATAGAATACATACCCACCCACATGACTCAGATGAATAGAACACTTTGGTCCGGCGAACCCTCTTCAAATGAAGTCAATCTACGTGGGAAATTAGAGAAGCTGTTTTTATCCCTGTTGGGAATTATCGGAAGTGTGGAATTCAAGAATTTCCAAGGAGATTCCGACGAACAGCGGTCGATCAGCGAAGTGACGAGAACTGTCGCAATTTCCACATAAGCCCCATACTACTAACGAACTAGAAGTAGTTCACAGGAGGAAAAGTTTATTCCAAGCGCGAAGCTTCCGCGTGAGAAATCACCAACCGAGACAACAATGAACGCGAGACCGCGTGATGCAGATTAGGTGATTGAAGGGTGTGTGGTGCAGTATCCTTTCCAAGTGCGAGTTGACCGCACTGCTGATGAGTTGCCGGACTGTTAGGTGCCGGACCAAAATCTGCAGGCCGGCACTGCGAAGGACACTGGAGATCCGTGAGGTGACTTCTGTTGGTGGTTCTTGTTTCGCTTTCAGCATCTTTTGAATGTGACGCATCGAGGTAGAAATGCCTGTTTCGTTTCAAAAAAGCCTATTGGAGCCGTTTTCGAAAGAAACTGGTGGTAACATGTTCATTACGGGAAGGCAAACCAAACTAAACCAAACTAAACTAAACTAAACTAAGAAAGTTAGCGAAATGCACCCATTTGCATACCATTCTGGTGTTAACTAGAATCTGTTGGCTACCGTCCCGTCAGCGTTTATCTTCAACCGCTTCCA